ATATTCATGGCTTCTGCAGCTGGAAGAATGTCTGACAACACGTGTCATCTGCATGTCATGTTACGTGTTTGCAAGTCCCTATCTCACACTGCTCACAGGAGCTTCTGGTGCTTGTGCTTCAGCTCAGGGCCATGGGGCACAGGGGGATACATAAGGATGCACCCCTGTGATGCACCTAGAGATGCATTCACAAATGTCCAAGGGTAAAGGCAGTGCAAAAGATTAGCACACAGACCAAGGATAGGTGTGAAAGGAGATCTGTCCACCCAGTGGATGGGTAAGTCTGCAGTGGTGTTTTCTTATTAATTTATAAATCTTTTGGAGATCAGCATTGATATAGAGGTTTTTGAAAGTAAATGTATCTATAAATATGGTTTTGGTTGTTTACACTATCTTGTTAAAATGCTTAAAACGGAGGGAGGATGTGCATAGTCTTCCATGGTGTATATGGGTCTTGCCTACTAAGCTGAATGGTGAGACAGGTGATACTGGTACACTTCAGGACTTAGAGGCAGAAACTGGTAGGAGCAGAATACTGATGTTACTAGTTGGACAGTTCTTCAAACTGCAATGAAATAATTCTGCAAATAGATATATGTCTGATGTGTAACATTAACTGAATTATGTAGCTGATCAGCAAATAAAATCCAGGTTTTCTCTAAAAATAGAAATACTTATATTGAAATATCCAATGGGAATGAAGGAAGTCAAAGATCATAAATTGAGACTTTCTGCTACTAGACAGCTACTCCCTGGGGGTTAGGCGAGCAATATGCCAATGCTGTACAAAATAGTCCACTGCCTAAGTGGAAGGAAACATGAGTCATAAATGTGGTATTCAACTGCAATTGTTATTATGAAGGTCAGAGTCCTTGACTGATGGGAAAAATAGACCTTGCCAGAAGTTCCAGTAGTGTCTGGTAAGGAATATATTAAATAAGCATCAATGACAAGTATACTCACAGGGAAGCAAAAGTTTTGTCCTTTGTATTGTTGAAACAAAGTGGGTAATAATAGAAAAAATATGAGTTAGTCTCTTTGAGGTCATCTTTCCAGCTGTTAAGATCTAAAAGTATTTTGGAGTATCTCTGAATTTTCAGAATTTCAAGCATTTTAGTAGAAACAATCGTTTTTATTTATAATAAACAGCTCGTCACATGATGCTCTGGAAGCTGTTGTGTGGATTTGCTGCTCTGTTACCTGCTTGTCACTCCTGAAAAGAATGTAAAACAGGAGATGTGATGGAAAGAAAGAAAGAAGTGTCATTTCTCTAAAATATAATTTTGACAAATCTGTTTCAGAAGGCCCTGCAGAGAGCTGCAGAGCAGTGCTAGTCATGGAGGTGTGCATCACGAGGCTTGTTCATCTCTGCTGGTGGGTGGGGGACTTTACTAAAACCTCTGTCTTTTTGGACCCTGTCGCAGGTGGGATTCCCTTTGTCCTCACTGGAGAGTTTTTCCAGCAGTCACAGAGGCCAGCTGCATTCATGATAGCTGGGACAGTCAACTGGCTCTCCAACTTCGTAGTGGGACTGCTCTTCCCCTTCATCCAGGTACTCAACATCCTTGGTAACTCATGCTGTGATATTGCTGGTACAGTGGGACATACGATGTTTGAGATTTCAGGGAATAATAAATGTCCTATTATTGAAGTGGATGACATTCCCACCATGTTTGTGATACAGATCAGTTGTGATACCCACATGTCTCCTTGCTGGAATGTGTTGGAAAAAAGTTGTCCTGCAGTGGAAAAAATATTGTAACCATGGACAGCCCTCTATGGCAAATTCCCCACGGGAGTGTTTAAGCTAAGCAATCTGATGATTTTGTCTGGGTTCACAGACAATGATGGTGATTGTCACTGCCTTCTTCTTCAGCTTTTAGAATAGCCATCATCTGGTTTACCCCAAGCTTTGAGAATCCATGTTAGTCTCATGGGAAAATAGATGCTCTCTGCACCTCCCTCCATAGGTTTGGTTTCATGGCTCTATTTTTTCCACTTCGGTCAGGCTTTTTTCTTCTTTAGCTGGTTCCTTCTTGCTGCAGATTAATTGCTGCATGGATCAATCTGTTCCTGTCCCAACTTTCCCAGACTCTCATAAGCTTTGTTTTTAGTGGATTGCTTGGTTGAATTAGTCACATGGAGGACACTTACATCAAAAGCTGCCTGAGAACTGGGGTTATACTTTAACAAGGTAAGTTTACTAAAAAAAAAATGCAAAAAGAAAATTAAAAGTTCAACAGAGAACAACATTCTCCTGCTCTGATTCCTAAGAGCACTTTAACACTATTGATGTGTCATTGTATGGCAAAAAGGCTTCAAGCAGCTTCTAATTAGAAAACAAGCTGAGGTTCTTTTCTTGCTCATCAACTTCTGTCAGGGATTGTCTGCACTTTCTGGAGCTCACACTGAAGCTGGTGCTTTATCTCAGGAGTTGAAATACAGCTGGTCACAGCCTAACTGGCCATATCCAAACTCTTAAAGGAGGCATCCTGCTCCACTGATAACAGTTTAAGAGTGAAGCTCACTACTAGAGGTCAAAATAAACGTCTAGGTTTTGGGGTTTTTAAACACAAGAAAATAATAGGGGCAGAGGAAAGGTGCAGAGAGAGAAAACCCTGCAGGATACTTGCACCTCACACCCAGGAGAGAGATTCTGGAATGGTCTTCAAATCATTGCCAAGAGATTTGAGTAATGAGAGTTGCTGCTGTGTGTGCTTTCTTCCAACTGAAAATTATTTGATTCTGCAATACCACATGCCTGACTATTTGCAGATACAGTAAAATGATCATTCTCTAAAACTTTATATATTTCTTTTTCATTTGACAAGTAGAACTGCTGTTACTATGTGGTACTGTTTTAAATTATCTGTATGAGTAGTTTATGGGAGAACTTAAAAGCCTTATAAAGTCTGACCCATGATCTAAGTTTGACACTTAATTTAAAATTTCTTCTAATAAGAGCAAGTCTCTTGTAGTTTTGATTACCTGGATCACCTTCAAAATTCAACATGACTATAAAATCTGTGATCTTTCCAAACTCTATACATTTGCTAACATTACCTGCAGTTACACTGCTGTGTCTTAAGAACTTCTTTTCATGCTTATTGAAATTGATGAGTAGGTAGGACATAATTCCTATGATAGGACATCAAAAGGAGATAGAGACATAATTTCTTTTCCACTGAGGTCGTTAGAACATCTACCAAAGGATGGAAGGAATTAGACAATTCTCTAGAGGTTTTGAAAACCTGGCCTAGTCCATGGGGCAGCCCCAAGTCATCCAGCAAATGGATGCTTCTGTGTGGTTTAATAGCTTTTTCTTCCAGAAGATGAGGAGTGTTTTGCTAGCATTGGACCTTCCCTTCCAGCCCAGCTGGCCAAGCAGTTCTGGTTCCAACACCTGCCTTCATGGCAGGGACAGAGAACAAGGTCTCAAGGTCTCAAATCCAGGGGCATTTAATCAGAATACTTTTATTTGGCTTGCTTTTTTGGGTTTGGGTTTGTTTGTTTGGTTTTTTTTGGCGGGGGGGGGGGGGGGGAATTTGGTTTTGGTTTTAAGGTTTTTTTGTAATTATTCAGAGACATTTAGAGAATAATCACATTTCTTCTAAATTGCAATTTCTCCTTCCTGCACAAAATTGGGGATTACCCTGAGCTCTGCTTAGCTGTCAGATTTGAATTCATGCAATTCAGGACACTCCCTACTTGTTCTGCTAATGCTACCTGACAGATCGCCTGGTGAAAACTGTTTAAAAAGACCCTCAGTAAATTCAAATTAAAAAGCAAACTACATTCTCTAGTTTTCCATGTGCATATTAAAGTTTATATCCAGTTGTGTGATTACAAAATTATCCAGTTTAGTTTTAATGAAGAGAAATTATATTTCTAGCTTGAAAGGTTTTAGGGATTTTTTCTTCTTTTAAAGAAAAGAGAAATAAAAAAGAAAAAAATGCTTAAAGTTTGCACCTAAAGATGAAAGCAGTGTTACTCCGACTTTGATTTTTAAAGCTTTTTCACAAGATCAAACTAGAACATCTCCCCTTTCCCAAGCTTTTACTTTTTTCCTATTTCAGTCAATCTTATTCTCAAAATTCAGTTTATGAGTCACCACTTCCTTCACATAAAGGCAAAATCTTCTTAGCTCATTTTATAAACCTAAACCAGGAAAAAAATCTTTAAGATACCTTCACAGGATGAATTCATAATCTTGTCTGTGTAATTAAATACTAACCTCATTGCTTGAGAAACAGCAGCCACTTTTCTTGATCCTTGGTGTGCTTCTACAAAATTATCCCAAACATTTGGGAAACAAATCTGGTAAGTTTACAGTTACTAAAAAAAAATCAAACAGTAGTTAGTTTTCCAAATGTCACCAATTAACTAATTTGAATGACTAAATTTTTTGCCCTTCAACCATCTGTAGATAAATACAATCAAAGAGTGGCTTGAGTTCATACATTAAAATATATGGAGGAGATTGAAAAGCTAGTATACAAATCCATTTTTGACAAATTAAAAAAAAAAATTGAATATGGCTTATCTTCCAGGCCTCATCACTATCTATTTGAGGTGCTGAAATGTGAACAGGGACACAGTAAATCAGAAATTAAAATGTATATATATATATATATATATGTGGAAATGTATGCAATGAGCTGAAGCAGGCACAGGGAACAACAAACAGGCAGAAAAGTAAAATCTAACAGGCTGGAAAACTTCTGGTGCCATAGAATAGGTTTTATGTGTTAAAGGAATACCCTTCATTAGTTTGCAGGGACAGACTTCAGTAACCCAATGGTGTAGCAGGACCTTAAATTACATGTTATCTAGAAAAAGTTTCTGTTTACTTTATGTAATGTGTTGCATAAATACAAAGAATTACTAAACATCAATAATTAACAAATAATTTCCCAACATGCTATTTTCATTACATGCTAGTGCACTTGTATTTCATATTTCACATTGTGATATTAGATTGTTATGAGGCACTTAAAGACCACATGGTAAATTAGTAATATACCATAGGAAAACATAGCAGAATTCTCCAGAAGGTTTCTGTCATAATAATTTCTCTTTCTGGAAGACTGTGCAGAGTCTTTTTTTAATGTCAAAGTCACATTGTATATTCAGTATATATTAAATAAATATTTAAATTGCTTTGTATTTTATATTTCTAATTTTCAAGAACATTTTCCTCCAAATACAAAAGTTTCCAATAACTGGGGAATGCAGAGGAATATCTCATTATGATTAGAGATCTGCTATATGGAAATTTGATTTTACTCTTAACTGGGGTTTGACCAAAATAATCTCCCTGGATCTGTGATCCAAAATGAGCTCAGTATCATATGGGATAAAGGGGCTACAAGCCTTGAAGCCTGAGTTCAGATTGTTTACTAGTACAATGCCATGAGCTGCAAGTGTGTTTATTTTCCTCCTTTTAGAAATGAATTAATTTGTGCCTGTGAAGTAGTACTTCTGAGACATTATACTGGTTTCTGGAGGTTCTCTTTTAATTCTACTTTATTTCTTCCTAAGTTTTACACTAGAGGTCTTCATTCTCATGCCTCAAGATTCATCTACTCTGCAAGATTGTCTTTTGGTTTTCCTTATTATTTCTTTATTGTGTATCTGTTGACTTTTTCTATTACTCAGCACAAGGATTTCAATAACAGGTGTGCACATAAAGTTATGCAGTTTCCCTCAACCAAGGTATTTTAAGCTTCTTCAAATATATTGGTTGTTTCATATAATGACAGCATCCCTGTATTAAGGATAATGGTTAAAGTTCCCCTCAAAGATGAGAAAATGAAATGTGGGCTATCAGGGGGCTAGATGTGTTTATCTTAATTAGAAGCAACCCACTTCAGGGATACAATATAGGGATCTGTTACATTTTTATTAGGAGATAGTGTGTGTGAGGGTCATGGTTGAAATTGCAGTTCATTTCTAAAAATGTCTCTATTTTTTACTTAGAAATTATGTTTCATACATTATACTTTACTGGTCCGTCCTTCTTCATTGTCCTGCATTTTCAGCAGAACCTTAAATTATGTCTGGAACAGAAGAAGGACAAAGGGTAAAGGACACAAGCCCTTATCCATTTGTTTCACTGCATTATATCAATTTGAAGCAAAGTGAAGTCAAATGTCTACATGAATAACAGTTTTTCTGCTGATCAATTTTGTAAGACATCGAACCATTATCACTTGACCTCATCACTTCAAAAGCCAGTTTGACCCACATCTCATGACACTAATCTTCATGGCAACTTCCAAATTCAAGGACCCATTGCTGGTGCCAAGGGCTGCGACTTTGCAAATTGGGAATTCAGAGTGGCATTTGGCATTTCCTGGAAAGAGCCAGAAGCTTTGTTTTAAAAAATATTAATGTGTTTGTTAAATTGATTCAGAATTTGTTCATTTGCTCATTCGTTTTGCTGTATCTGCCCTAGAATATCTATTTTCCTCTTTTCAGTATCACAGTCCTGCTTAAATTTAACCTTTGCTACAGTGTGTTAAACAACCATTGTTAAATAGCACCTAATGA